AGACATGGACAATGGAGGTCCAGTTTTGAAACAGTCCATGACAAAAGTTGATTAAATTTACATATCCTGAACGTCACGATAAATGGTAATCTATTGTACATATACTTGAAATGGCATCAATAATCTCATTTTTTACACCTGGTACAGTAATGATAGGATTATTAACATATATGTTATAGAAGTCTTGGCATATGAACAATAATCATTACGTTAACAAGAATATGCTCAATGTATATTTCAATATATTGTAACAAAACCCTAAATGGCCAAACAAAACATTAATAAGATTCTGAATCTCAATAAGTGTGGTGAGTGACTGTCGAAAAAGAAAAGATACGGATATGATGTTGTTATTATTATTATTATTATTAGTATTATTATTATTATTATTGTTATTATTATTATTATTATTATTATTATTATTATTATTATTATTAATATTATCATTATTATTATTATTATTATTATTATCATTATTATTATTATTAGTATTATTATTATTATTATTATTATTATTTGTATTGTTAATATTGTTATTATTATTATTATTATTATTATTTATTTTTTTTTATTATTAGTAAGACTTGAAATAGTAATGGATTTACTATATTAATATGATCATTCCATTTATTATATATGTGTTTAATATCCTATTATTGTGGAGTTCAGGGCATTTAGAGTAATAATGAAAAAAACAGGCACAATATTACTTTGTATTTCAGTAAATTAGTATTGGTATTTATTTTTGTAATAGAGAAAATTCCATACTAAACGTAATATTATTAATAAGTAAATAAATTATTGTTATTTGACATCTCTTTCCATTTATTTTATAAATTACTTCTAAATTTCAATATGAATTATAAGAATGAAGAAAAATAAAAAGTAATAAAAAAGTTATCTCAGGAGATCATGCTATAGATTATAATTGATAATTATCAATCTATTCAAAGCTATACCAATAAAGATAACTTTTTCTAATACAATTTTGTGCATTTGTGTATTTTGTGTCTTTCTAGCAATACTAATAAATCTTCCAAATTAAAAACTTATTAGTTGTCATTTATACTTCATTGATACGGTTCTGCTTCAGAGAGTGTCGTTGTAGACACTACTAGAGTAAGGAAGGCCGGATAGACGCTCAAGGTATGGGAAAAATTGTAAAGACACTTGTGGTGTGGGGAAGAGTTGTAACTGTTCAGGCGTATTTCTCTTGCTGTGGCAGGCAAAGTACAAGTCAGGTTATCCTCTGCAGATCAGCCGAACACATCGCTGTCTCCACTCTGCCTAAAATGCAATGTGGCTTCCGTAAAGATCACAGCACAAATGATATGATCTTTACCGTGCGTCAACTACAAGAAAAATGCCATAAACAGAACCGTGACCTATACATAGCTTTTATCGAATTATTGAAAGCTTTCGATACCATCAATAGAGAACTGATCTGGACAGCTCTCTCTAAGCCTTGTGTCCCTCCATAATCTTTTAAATCCGTAAGAGCTTCTATGGGGACATGCAAACATGCGCACTTGCAGGGGGTACCAAGCCCAAACCCTTTAGTGTTGAAGTCAGCGTGAAACAGGGGTGCGTTCTGGCCCCCGTCATCTTCAATCTCTGCCTCACAGCAGTGATCCTGATCAATGAATGACGATGACGGCGTGAAGATTCAATTCCGCTTAAACGGCAACCTGTTCAACCTCCGCCGCCTTCAGACCATTAAAAAACGTCGACCTCTCACCTCTTGGACGACTGCTGACGACTGCGTGCTCGGTGCTCACTCCCAGAAACTCTCCAACAAAGTCTCTCGATTGTCTCCGTAATATATGAGGACATCGGACTAAATATTATTTGAAGAAAAAGCAGAGACAATTTTTCAGCACAGACGCGCAGACCCACCACCTGCATTCCACCTGCATATTACCTACCTCGGTAGCATTCTTACTCCCAAGCAAAACATCGACGAAAAGGTCCAGGTTCGGATCCATCTTGCAGGTGCCTCCTATGGTCGTCTGCGCACCAGAGGGCTCAACAGTAACAGTCTCAATGTTACAACCAAGCTTTCTGTTTACCAAGCATTTCTGGCGAAGCGACACAGTTGCAATGGACGTAACACGTCATTTGCAAGCCAGAGCACCGACCGCCAGATCCTCTACGGGCAGCTGCTCGAGGCAAGCCCCAACTAGGAGGATAATGCAAAAGGTTCAAAGACCAGCTCAGAATGGTGCTGAAATAATTTACATTCCTCCAAAGGATCTTAAACTATTGCATCCAACCCTAGTCTATGGCGCTCCACCTGTACCAGAGTCGTCAAACATCTCGAGAACAAGCATGATAGGGACTGGTGTGCATGTATGGAAAGGAGACACAATCGCACGCCAAGAGACCATCCACCTAACCCGGTGCTGTCCTGCCCAATGTGTGATAAACTCTGCGGGTCAAGGATTGGACTCCACGGCGACATCCAGTGGCACCGTCAACAACATCCCTAATTCACCACTCATCATCATCATCGATTTCATAATGAAGCAGAGTCGTCTTCGGGTACAACGGACAGCCTTAAGCAAGCAAAAGGTACTGGGGATGCGGGGGAAAGTTGTAACGGTACTATGGTATGAGGAATTTTGTAGAGGCACCGGCGGTGAGGGAAAGCTGTAAAGGTACTGGGGTTGTGGTGAGAATTCTATAGGCAATGGGGAGGGGGAGGTTGTGAAGTGAAACGGACTTGAGGGTATTGCGTGAGGAGAAGGTAGCTTATCCACATGTAGGCGGATGACATTTGGAAGAAGAGTACATTTTGTAGAAAAATTAAATATAGTACACAGAATTTTTAGACAAAATATTCAAACTTCCGAATATGGAACGCAGAGACATGAGCCTATCTTTTTACTTTGTTTTCCCAGCTCTATAAATCGCACAAAACTTCAAACTTTAGTCAAATTTAAAAAATTATTTTAAAAGAAAATTTTCATTACTAAAATTTGTCAATATTTCGAGATTACTAGCCACAGATATTTTTTGTCAAAATACACAGTAGTTCAATACCTCTGGAGATATTTGGAAATTAATTTTTATTTATTTAACGAATTAAACTGGTTTTTTTTAAACTTGGAACCTAAAGTGCTGAAGTGTTGTAGTAGTTCGATCGTAACTTCGACAGTTGAATATAGAGTTATATTCACTTTTGGGGATTATTCTCCAACCATCACCGAAGGTTCTAAAATGATGATTAAGATTCTGTACACTGACTTTTCTTGCAGTGACACGAAGAGGTTGGTGTACTAATATAAATAGTCTATAGTCAAACATATTTATACATTCACCACTGATCCAGGGAGTCTACACTTAAACACAGGAAATATCTGAGTATTGTCACTGACTAGAGGCAAATGCTAACCTAATTTCGGGTTGTGTCTGCGTTTGAGTAGTATCGCTAATTATGGCAACTTTGCATTTATATTACCTGTAAAAGAAATAGTTTATATTTACTATATATATATATATATATATATATATATATATATATATATATATGATTTACAAAATATTGCTGTCTTAAATAATCACGATGAATTGCCTCAAGGTGAAATTTTCGATTTACCATGAAAAGAAACGAGGATATTCACACTGAGTAGATGATGAAATGATGATGATGTTGCACAAATTCAAAACACGAGTGATGACAACTAAGTGAGGGACGCTGACTGTGGGATATATAAGCTCTCACCAACACATTTCTTCATACAGTTCGTGACAGAACTTGATACTGACATCACCAATATGGTAAGACTTAGTATAGCCTCTATCACTAATGGTGTAAGTGGCGTCTCCTATTACTTTGCCATTGATACGTGAGTCAGGTGCCCTCTCCCATAACCAACTCTATTTTGATCAGGTACTGCTGAGACGTAGAATGAATTGAATCAAAATCAGTTTATCCCTGATGTGGCTTCTCTTGTCATTATCTATCGTCGGCAATAATTATCACATTTGTGCTGTGTTCATTAGTTGTCACCCACGATCATGAAGTTATTTAAAAACACATCTGAGTGTTGTGCAATTGTGTTAGTAAACTTCCATCACTATTCATCATTAAGGTTTTTATTGGTCTTCTAAAGTGGTGTTCAGTTCGTGATACAGGAAATTAAAAATAATGCATATTATGGATCATGAGGAAACGTGAATCTTGCGACAGTGTGTACCCCTTCTCTGCTCTATTCAATGCTCTTCTATTCCTGAATAATAATATGAGCAATGGGTGTCCCTTTAATAGAAAAGACAGTTATCAGAATAGAAATTATGAGCAATGGGTGTCCCTTTAATAGAAAAGACAGTTATCAGAAGAAATTATAAATGTAGGACTAATATGTCTTTTTCCGACATTCCAAAACACGAAAGTTATAGAGAGGAAATGTCTGCAATTAAATTTGTTATGGCAGTGAATATGGGTGTAAAAATATCTGCTAATCGTGTTAAATAATTCTTCAGCAACTATCGTTCGCTCTTTGTTCATACAAATAACATGGGACGCAATAAATAAGATATTCATAACCAGTAATTAATTACATGAAAAATATGTATATATTAATAATGATTCGTTAAATTCCAGCAAAGTGTAGTAGCTTCTAACATCACGTCCGAATATACAGTATCTCCGGGGACTCAGCTTTCAATTTAATTTATTCTACTCATCGCTGGTCTTCCTAAAACTTCCTTCACAAATATTACACTCTGACATCGACACCCTATTACCTAATATATTTATAAATCAATAATGAGAGATATGTGTCATTCATCTTTATTCTCGTTGTTCATTATAATAAGGTTATAATTATTATTAATGTAGCTTTGTACAATTTCAGAGGTTGGTGTTAGTGTTCCTGGGCGTGACCATCCTAGCGGTGTCTTGCCTGGCCATGCCAGGCTATGGTGGAGGTGGCGGCGGCCGTGGAGGTGGCGGCGGCCGTGGAGGTGGCGGCGGACGTGGAGGTGGAGGCGGCCGTGGAGGAGGTGGTGGCCGTGGAAGTGGCGGCGGTGGCTATGGTGGAGGAGGTGGTGGTGCAGCGAGAGGTGGGGGTGGTGGCAGTGGCGGCGGTGGTGGAACCGGCGGTTATGGTGGAGGTGGTTCCAGTGGCAGCGGAGGTGGCTTCGGTGGAGGAGGCTTCGGTGGCGGTGGTTATGGTGGAGGCGGTTTCAGTGGAGGCGGTTCCGGTGGAAGCGGGGGAAGTTTTGGCGGAGGAGGCTTCAGTGGAGGTGGTTATGGTGGAAGCGGATCCGGTATTGGTGGTTCCGGAGGTGGCGTCTACGGTGGAGGAGGCTTCGGTGGAGGTGTTAGAGGTGGCAATAGCGGAGGTGGTGGCAGTGGCTCCGGTGGCGGTGGATATCGAGGTTATGGGAAATAACTATAATATTAATAAATTACATTAAACCAAGTACAAAATCATTTACTTTACCTAACCTGTATAAAGTGCAGCTTATAATGAAGGAACTGTGATGATCTTTACTAGAGAAAATACCTCACAGCGATAAGGTGACATGTCATGATTCCTGCCTTGTCTTCTACAGACATGGACAATGGAGGTCCAGTTTTGAAACAGTCCATGACAAAAGTTGATTAAATTTACTTATCCTGAACGTCACGATAAATGGTAATCTATTGTACATATACTTGAAATGGCATCAATAATCTCATTTTTTACACCTGGTACAGTAATGATAGGATTATTTACATATATGTTAGAGAAGTCTTAGCATATGAACAATAATCATTACGTTAACAAGAATATGCTCAATGTATATTTCAATATATTGTAACAAAACCCTAAATGGCCAAACAAAACATTAATAAGATTCTGAATCTCAATAAGTCTGGTGAGTTACTGTCGATAAAGAAAAGATACGGATATGATGGTATTATTATTATTATTATTATTATTATTATTATTATTATTATTATTATTATTATTATTATTATTATTATTATTATTATTATTATTATTATCATTTTTATTATTATTATTATTATTATTATTATTATTATTATTATTATTATTATTATTATTATTATTATTATTATTATTATTTGTATTGCTAATATTGTTATTATTATTACTAATATTATTATTTATTTTTTTGTATTATTAGTAAGAATTGAATTAGTAATGGATTTACTATATTATTATGATCATTCCTTTTATTATATATGTGTTTAATACCCTATTATTGTGGAGTTCAGGGCATTTAGAGTAATAATGAAAAAATAGCAGACACAATATTACTTTGTATTTCAGTAAATTAGTTTTGGTATTTATTTTTATAATAGAGAAAATTCCATACTAAACGTAATATTATTAATAAGTAAATAAATTATTGTTATTTGACATCTCTTTCCATTTATTTTATAAATTACTTCTAAAATTCAATATGAATTATAAGAATGAAGAAAAAAATAAAAAGTAATAAAAAAGTTACCTCAGGAGGTCATGCTATAGATTATGAAGCTATTCAAAGCTATACCAATAAAGATAACTCTTTCTAATACACTTTTGTGCATTTGTGTATTTTGTGTCTTTCTAGCAATACTAATAAATCTTCCAAATTACAAACTTATTAGTTGTCATTTATACTTCATTGGTACGGTTCTGCTTCAGAGAGTGTCGTTGTAGACACTACTAGAGTAAGGAAGGCCGGATAGACGCTAAAGGTATGGGAAAAATTGTAAAGACATTTGTGGTGTGGGGAAGAGTTGTAACTGTTCAGGCGTATTTCTCTTGCTGTGGCAGGCAAAGTACAAGTCAGGTTATCCTCTGCAGATCAGCCCAACACATCGCTGACTCCACTCTGCCTAAAATGCAATGTGGCTTCCGTAAAGATCACAGCACAAATCTTTACCGTGCGTCAACTACAAGAACAATGCCATAAACAGAACCGTGACCTATGCATAGCTTTTATCGAATTATTGAAAGCTTTCGATACCATCAATAGAGAACTGCTCTGGACAGCTCTCTCTAAGCCTTGTGTCCCTCCATAATCTCTTTAATCCGCAAGAGCTTCTATGGGGACATGCAAACATGCGCTCTTGCAGGGGGCATCAAGCCCAAACCCTTTAGTGTTGAAGTCAGCGTGAAACAGGGGTGCGTTCTGGCCCCCGTTATCTTCAATCTCTGCCTCACAGCAGTGATCCTGATCAATGAATGACGATGACGGCGTGAAGATTCAATTCCGCTTAAACGGCAACCTGTTCAACCTCCGCCGCCTTCAGACCATTTAAAAACGTCGACCTCTCACCTCTCACAAAGTCTCTCGATTGTCTCCGTAATATATCAGGACATCGGACTAAAAATTATTTGAAGAAAAAGCAGAGACAATTTTTCAGCACAGATGCGCAGACCCACCACCTGCATATTACCTACCTCGGTAGCATTCTTACTCCCAAGCAAAACATCGATAAAGAGGTCCAGGTTCGGATCCATCTTGCAGGTGCCTCCTATGGTCGTCTGCGCACCAGAGGGCTCAACAGTAACAGTCTCAATGTTACAACCAAGCTTTCTGTTTACCAAGCATTTCTGGCGAAGCGACACAGTTGCAATGGACGTAACACGTCATTTGCAAGCCAGAGCACCGACCGCCAGATCCTCTACGGGCAGCTGCTCGAGGCAAGTCCCAACTAGGAGGATAATGCAAAAGGTTCAAAGACCAGCTCAGAATGGTGCTGAAATAATTTACATTCCTCCAAAGGATCTTAAACTATTGCATCCAACCCTAGTCTATGGCGCTCCACCTGTACCAGAGTCGTCAAACATCTCGAGAACAAGCATGATAGGGACTGGTGTGCATGTATGGAAAGGAGACACAATCGCACGCCAAGAGACCATCCACCTAACCCGGTGCTGTCCTGCCCAATGTGTGATAAACTCTGCGGGTCAAGGATTGGACTCCACGGCGACATCCAGTGGCACCGTCAACAACATCCCTAATTCACCACTCATCATCATCATCGATTTCATAATGAAGCAGAGTCGTCTTCGGGTACAACGGACAGCCTTAAGCAAGCAAAAGGTACTGGGGATGCGGGGGAAAGTTGTAACGGTACTATGGTATGAGGAATTTTGTAGAGGCACCGGCGGTGAGGGAAAGCTGTAAAGGTACTGGGGTTGTGGTGAGAATTCTATAGGCAATGGGGAGGGGGAGGTTGTGAAGTGAAACGGACTTGAGGGTATTGCGTGAGGAGAAGGTAGCTTATCCACATGTAGGCGGATGACATTTGGAAGAAGAGTACATTTTGTAGAAAAATTAAATATAGTACACAGAATTTTTAGACAAAATATTCAAACTTCCGAATATGGAACGCAGAGACATGAGCCTATCTTTTTACTTTGTTTTCCCAGCTCTATAAATCGCACAAAACTTCAAACTTTAGTCAAATTTAAAAAATTATTTTAAAAGAAAATTTTCATTACTAAAATTTGTCAATATTTCGAGATTACTAGCCACAGATATTTTTTGTCAAAATACACAGTAGTTCAATACCTCTGGAGATATTTGGAAATTAATTTTTATTTATTTAACGAATTAAACTGGTTTTTTTTAAACTTGGAACCTAAAGTGCTGAAGTGTTGTAGTAGTTCGATCGTAACTTCGACAGTTGAATATAGAGTTATATTCACTTTTGGGGATTATTCTCCAACCATCACCGAAGGTTCTAAAATGATGATTAAGATTCTGTACACTGACTTTTCTTGCAGTGACACGAAGAGGTTGGTGTACTAATATAAATAGTCTATAGTCAAACATATTTATACATTCACCACTGATCCAGGGAGTCTACACTTAAACACAGGAAATATCTGAGTATTGTCACTGACTAGAGGCAAATGCTAACCTAATTTCGGGTTGTGCTGCGTTTGAGTAGTATCGCTAATTATGGCAACTTTGCATTTATATTACCTGTAAAAGAAATAGTTTATATTTACTTATATATATATATATATATATATATATATATATATATATATATATATATATATATATATATATATATATATATATATATATATATATATATATAATGATTTACAAAATATTGCTGTCTTAAATAATCACGATGAATTGCCTCAAGGTGAAATTTTCGATTTACCATGAAAAGAAACGAGGATATTCACACTGAGTAGATGATGAAATGATGATGATGTTGCACAAATTCAAAACACGAGTGATGACAACTAAGTGAGGGACGCTGACTGTGGGATATATAAGCTCTCACCAACACATTTCTTCATACAGTTCGTGACAGAACTTGATACTGACATCACCAATATGGTAAGACTTAGTATAGCCTCTATCACTAATGGTGTAAGTGGCGTCTCCTATTACTTTGCCATTGATACGTGAGTCAGGTGCCCTCTCCCATAACCAACTCTATTTTGATCAGGTACTGCTGAGACGTAGAATGAATTGAATCAAAATCAGTTTATCCCTGATGTGGCTTCTCTTGTCATTATCTATCGTCGGCAATAATTATCACATTTGTGCTGTGTTCATTAGTTGTCACCCACGATCATGAAGTTATTTAAAAACACATCTGAGTGTTGTGCAATTGTGTTAGTAAACTTCCATCACTGTTCATCATTAAGGTTTTTATTGGTCTTCTAAAGTGGTGTTCAGTTCGTGATACAGGAAATTAAAAATAATGCATATTATGGATCATGAGGAAACGTGAATCTTGCGACAGTGTGTACCCCTTCTCTGCTCTATTCAATGCTCTTCTATTCCTGAATAATAATATGAGCAATGGGTGTCCCTTTAATAGAAAAGACAGTTATCAGAAGAAATTATAAATGTAGGACTAATTATGTCTTTTTCCGACATTCCAAAACACGAAAGTTATAGAGAGGAAATGTCTGCAATTAAATTTGTTATGGCAGTGAATATGGGTGTAAAAATATCTGCTAATCGTGTTAAATAATTCTTCAGCAACTTTCGTTCGCTCTTTGTTCATACAAATAACATGGGACGCAATAAATAAGATATTCATAACCAGTAATTAATTACATGAAAAATATGTATATATTAATAATGATTCGTTAAATTCCAGCAAAGTGTAGTAGCTTCTAACATCACGTCCGAATATACAGTATCTCCGGGGACTCAGCTTTCAATTTAATTTATTCTACTCATCGCTGGTCTTCCTAAAACTTCCTTCACAAATATTACACTCTGACATCGACACCCTATTACCTAATATATTTATAAATCAATAATGAGAGATATGTGTCATTCATCTTTATTCTCGTTGTTCATTATAATAAGGTTATAATTATTATTAATGTAGCTTTGTACAATTTCAGAGGTTGGTGTTAGTGTTCCTGGGCGTGACCATCCTAGCGGTGTCTTGCCTGGCCATGCCAGGCTATGGTGGAGGTGGCGGCGGCCG